TGCTCACTCTCCCAAATATAGCTGATGTTCAGTGCAAAAGAAAGCCGGTTCCTGCAACCCGCTGTCTGAGCGACTGCTGTCCCAGGTGTCATATTTGTAGGACTATTTCTGTCCATTGCTGGACGTGGGCCGGCAGCCTGAAACAGCCGCTGGCTGGCGCGGGAGAGGGACAGACAGCGTTTGGTGACTGTCAACAGACAGGGCAATCTGAAGCATGCGAGATGGTTTTAAGAAATACAAAGAAGAAAGGACATGTCATCTTATATTATCTCATCATAGGATTTAATAAAGCAAAGGACTTACTCGGGAATTTGTCCTTCTATGTGGCAATTTTTGGTTTTTAATTAAACTAAATATTTTTGTGCCGTATAGCCCTATGCATATGCATGGTGATCTATACAAAAAGTAAAGGGCATGATTTTGTTTACTTCAGCTTTTTTGTTTACTTCATGCAAGTTGTTCCTCATAAGTTAGTGCAGGGCTCACAAAGTTAAATGAATTGTTACATGGTAGCTGCTCCAAAGTCTTACAGCTTTGTTCCTGCAGTTTGTTTTGCTTCTGTGGAGGTAGAGAATGGCTGGAATGACCACTGGGGAGTTACTTATGCATATATTCACATGGCTGATCTTGTAGATCTGATTTTAGTATTTCTAACTGAACTTTTCTTGTGAGGTAGTTGTTTTAAACAACTTGTATAAATAAAGGTATGACTCCCTGAACTGCGAAGTTGAGCAGCTTATGATAGAGGAAGACATCAGGCAGCAGGAAGGAAGGAGGAAGGGTTGTATTAGGTAAGAGACAACTTGACTGCCTTGAATGTTTTAAAACACACTTCTCTGAATCAGTCACTGTATTAGCAAGATGTTTTAAAAAATAATGGCATCAGGCTGGCCCACGTTTGTGTGTTTTCATGTTCTCATGTCACGCTAATGATTTTAATTCTACTTTTTTGCCTCTGCTTTGGGAATTGTGAATGTTACATGGATGGGTAATTAGAAAGGACCCAGGGAGACTGGGGTGTGAGATAAAACTCAGAGGACTAGGAGTGTTTTGTATACCTGCTGTTCACTACTCGTCAGTGCTGCTTGGTTTTGGTGTTATTATTTATATCCCATGAGAAGGAATGTTTGGGTGATACAGATTTTGTGTCTTATGGACATTAGTGAGTCAGTTGCACATGGGAAAAAGATGCTTGCTTTCTCACTGCAGAGCAGTTCAGTGTTCAAAAGGTTTGGTTGTGAGGTTTATATAAATATACAGCACTTATTGCCAGAGGCTACAAAACAACTGAGCTGACTTTGTTGTTGTTGACTTGTTTTCTGTAGAAGCACCTCATGCTGGTAGGACTGTGGACATATTTTGTTTATCAAGTATACTAAACACAGTGTGTATAAACACAAAAAAGGACCATCAGTCTTCAAAATCATCATCTCCAACTGATCAGCTTGTATTTTTTTTTTTAACAGGGCCGTTGTATATGACTCATAGAAATGGCTACAGTAACTCCTGGTTGGTATGTTTTCTTTTTTATTAAGTATTATTTCTATGATTCCCTTTCTAGAATAGACTTCATCTGAGAAAAACGTGAAAGCACTTAAAGGCTGATATTCTCACTCCATATACATTCTATAGATTTAACCTAGGGATCAACAGAGCAAGTTGTTCCATAATGTCTTCTCTCCAGTTTCACTTGAAGAGAACCACACTTAGCATGAACAAAGAGATTAATTTTTAATCTGGTGTATTTTTTAATATTATTTTTCCCATTATGATGCACATTGGGCTGAACCATTTCACTTCAGTAGGAATGTGGTGAATCTTGAGAGATAGGCCTGTTATTTCTGATAATGTTGCACAAAAGTAATTGGACAGTAGTCTCTACTGCGGTGGCATGTCAACAAGTATGGATTTCTTTTCATGGCTAAGGGAAATGCTTTCCAGTGGATTTATGGTGACATATATAATGCGTGGTATAGTCCTGAGTGTTTGCCTTAATAATAGAAGAGTAATTTAAATCATGTGCCAGATGAAGCCATGAGAAGGGTTTATCCTTGCATTGTACCTATGAGATCTGGTATTACATTTTAGAGTGATGGTAACAGTTAAATCTTCCTTTTCTGAGGGATTAAGCATATCACCTTTTAGGAAATCGTATGAGTCTTTCCAACACCTCTCTGTAAACCTGCTGCCTGCTGTGCTTAGTTTCAGAATCCAGCGTAATCATTTTCCTCTCCAAAAACTGTTTATTGTCTCATTCATCTATACATCAGATTACTTCATATCAAAAATCACATAACTCTTCTGGGAAGAATATGCCCCCTTTTGTGGCTCCCTGAGGATTCCTTTCTTAGCCCCTTGTTGTAAACAGCTTATACAAGCGTGATAGGAGACATGGGCTCTGTAAAATCCTTTCAGAGTTATTTATTAAACTGTTGTGGTCTCAGATTATTTTTTTCAGTGATGATTCACTGGCAGCTCAGCACCTTTCTTCAGTAGAAACCTTTGCAGACTGGAGCACAAACTGTGACTTTTAATAGTGGATTAGTCTGGTGTTATTTAGCACAGGTGTTTCTCAGTTGTTACTTTGTACAATGGTGGGCAAGTGCACAGCCTGATGCATTGGGGTGAGTGTCTAATACTAGCACATTCATAGGTCTAATTATTGCTACAGATGCATGATGTGGGGGTGAGAAGGTCTGTGTGCACAATGTGAAGGCAGTAGAGCAGCAATCTTTGTAAGTGGCAGTGGGTTTTGGGAATAAAGCAGAGCATGCCCAAGCAATCCCTCTTGCCTCCCTTAAGAATGTGAAATTCTACCCCGTGCTTAAGTGGGGCCCTCGTGCTGTTCTGATCACCTCTGGTGCTTCCAGGTATTTTTTTTTTTTACCAGATGTATCATAAGTAATACCACTGACAAAAGCTATGTGGTATGTTGGGGGTTTTTTAGTAGAATGGGATTGGTAGAACAGCTAGAAAGTAATCTTTTTACTAGTGTTTTATGGGAATGTTAACCAGCCACCTGCTAGGTAATCATGGCTGAGGTACATGTATACTCTGGAACAAGTGCTTACGAGTCCACTTTACAGTGGATTTAGGCAAACTCAGGTTCAGCTCACAGCTACATCTTTGTTGAAAGTGTTTTGTATGTGAATATTTAGATGGGAAAAAAATCTTTAGTATGAGCATGCATGACAAATGCTTTCAAGATGAATCACTAGATAATTTCTAATATTGCTGTTGATGACAAGTGTGAGAGAAGCTGAGAGGCGTATTTTGTGGGAGCAGATTTAGACTGAGTTGATAATTATAAACTGATAATTATGAACTCTTGTTTTGCACAGGTAGTGGAGAACAGATTTTTTTACCTTAACTGTAACATCTGTACAACCTTTACCTGTGCAGTCTAAGCACAGTAAACTGTTCAACACTGAGAATAACCTAGACTGCTTTGGTTTTAGCTCCAGTGTGATTATTTTAAAGGTTCAGTTTAGTGGACAATGGTATTTGGAGCTCAGAAATGCTGTATCACCTCAGTGTGGTTGGATGAATTTTGATTTGTAGTGCCTGTGAATTGCTGAGGCACGAAGTGCAGTTTTTCCTGCAGGATGTTGTTTGCGATGACACGTCCTCTGACTGGCAAATAACAAGGTCTGTTCCTGATGGAAAACATGAATGTCTTGCTTGGAAGGATGAGATGTGTCTTTCACTTTGAAGAAGATATGTACAGGAACAGATCTCCTAAATGGACTATACAGCTGCAACACACTTCGGGGATGTACATGGTTGCATTTCCATCTGGAATGCCACACTAAATTGACTCAAATTGTGGACCATGCAAACTGCAGAGCTTCTTCTTGGGAACACTTGGATATATGCTCTGGGATTTGGCACTGGCTATCCCCAGCCTTTTGTAGGCAGCTTAAGTAGAGATGATGAATTGCTTGAAGTTGCAAATGTAAAAGAAAATGTTCTTCTTCCCTGTAGTGAGAAAATATGCACATATAAAACTTACAGATTAATTGCCCTTGAAGTTAATTTGCTTTTTGTTTTTAAAAGTGATGAAGTCAAAATGATCAGAGGTGAGTACATTAATATGATCTTGAGTGGTAAAGCCACAGTTGTCCCTAGCTGGCTAGGGAACCTTTTCTTCAAGCGTATAGCTGAAGTCCATTGTGCAAGTGTGAAAACAGAGAGAATTTGTCTGTGAGGAACATTCAAATCTCATAGTCTGCACACATATCTGTCTTGAAACTGTTCCTTCCTTGGAGGGAAGGGGATGAAAGGAAGTGTGTTCAGATTCACAAGAGTTGCTGGCCTTTTGTTTTCTTGCAGTTGCTTAGCTTACAATATTGGCAGGTGCTCTGCACATGTATTTAATCTCATAGTATTTTTCCTGTTGGCAGAATGCCTAGATCTGAGAAGTACATGCCTTTTATGAACACTGCTGTAAATCTAAATAAATTAAATTAGAATGTTGTTTTTTACTTGTATACATGGCTGTGAGGGGTTAGTGTTGTCATCTAGACCAGCTCAAGCTCCTTAAATTTTTTTTTATTTTCAGCTTGGAAGGTATATAACCCAGAAGAAAAGATCTTGAAATCAGAGAGTGCACAGCAACTTCTGAGAAGAGATTATATAAAGTGGTAGGTGGGAAGTTAATTAAGTAAATTCTTTTGCCTTTGGGCCCTCTCATGTTATTAAGTGACTTTGCATGTAATTTGCTAAAGTCATTGAACAAATGCATTAAAAATAATAATGTGAACATTAAAGTGTAAAGAATATAAGTGGCCACAGGATGTCCCCACTGTTCCGTGCTGATACATCCTCATAGGCTGTTTATGCTGTAGTACAGAGCTTGACATATTTCTTAAATATGATATTTTGTATTGTAGAGGTTTTCACATTTATTTTCGTATTTCAAATGTTTATGTGGCAGGCCAGCCAATTAACATCTAGATAGAAGTAGAAGGGAAAAAAGGAATTGCTTTGATTGGTTGCTTTAGGTCTGAGTTTTCTTTTGACTTCCAAAGATTGGGAATGGACAAGACTTGATTTTTTATAAGTAACAGTTATTCATTCCATGTGAGTGCAGTTTGGTTGCTCAAATCAGAATGAAAATTTATTCAGAAAGGTAATTTGCTGCCTGCTTTTAAAAACCTACTACCAGTGGTTTGCATATTCACAGAATTACAGAATATTTTGAGTTGGAAGGGACCCACAAGGATTGTAAAGTCCAACTCTTAAGCGAACGGCCCATATGGGGATCAAAACCACAACCTTGCAGTTATTAGCACCATGCTGTAAACAACTGAGCTAATCTCATGTTGACCAAGAAAGTGAAGGGGCATACTTATCTAAGGACTTGTTTGAACAATGCTGGTGGTGTCAAATACACTAAGGTGTGAAAGTAAAAGTAATGTTTTTGGGCTATTAGGATGGCTTACAATGGAAGTGGTTTAATTTAAGGAGAAGTGAGTCATTCTGCAAAATAAATGTATCTAAGTGGGAAGCTGGTGCAGAGAATAGCTACATAAAACTTACACCATGGCTTCTGAATAGTATATGTGTCCCAAAACTCTGTAAGTGCTGTATGTGATGGATCAGACCGTGGCTGATACTGCACAAGGATATATGTCCCATCCCCGCAAGTGTTCAAGGCCAGTTTGGACAGGACTTTGCACAACCTGGTCTAGCAGAAGATGTTCCTGCCCGTGGCAAGGGGAGTTGGAACTAGGTCATCTTTAAGGCCCCTTCCAATCCAAATCATTCTATGATTGTATAAAAGTATAAAGCATAAGGAGCTCTATGTTAAGGCTGGGACTTCATGTTAAAATGTACTCCTGAGTTTGTTTTACTAAGACCATGCTGTTACATATAGGCTATGGCATCAATACTTTCCTTAGGAATTCTTTATAGCTACATTACCTATATCCAGTTGCTTTGGATTTTCAGCACTTCTGAAAATCACAACCTGTGTTTTGAAGTCAGTATCTTAGATGAGAAACAATGACATTTTGGGTAGCCCGTTGTGCCTGAAAATTCAAGCAGTGAGGCCTTGTAAGTTGGATACGAGCAGACATACGTCCACAATGATACCTTTTTACATGCATGTGGCCATTCAGCCTTCTGGGAAAGCCTGAAGAGGAAACTCTTCTTTCCCAAGCAGCTTACTGCTTTTGTTTGTCCTTTCTACAGTGCAGGAGCTGTGAATTACATTTTTGTATCAGTGGCACGCCTGCCTTTTCTTATTGAATTGAATGTTGCAGTACCAGCAGTATTCTGCAGTCTTGTTTATCTGGTAACTTCCAGGCTTGGATTGTCTGTCCTATTACCAATAGCTCTATAGGCCAGACTTGCCTGAATAACTACAGTAATTGTGCTGCAAACAACAGATGACTGGCATTTCACTAGAGGTGCTTCCTTGGGACTTAGTGAATTTGAACTTACTTTCTCAAGAACTGCTCTTAGAAGTAAGCTTGGAGTACAGCACTCAACATATAATCTAAATCTATTCTTGTCCATGAGGACATGCTGCACGAATCTATGTGATTGTATATGTATTTATTATTGAAAGAGTTTCAGGGGAGACAAATGTTTTCTCTTTTCCAGCATGCTATACCTTTTGGGTGTTTTATGTGGAATGTAAGTTGGCTTTTTTGTATCTGTGGTTTTTATGACAGTATTTTTATAAAGGAAGCATATGCTGTCATCCACTTCAGTATGTGCAAGATTCCCACTGGACCTGATTCATACTACTGCTACTGCTGCCTGCTTAGTCATTTGGCTCACTGACATCAGAGGTAGTTTTGCATGAAAGAAAAAACTCCGATGGAGTTGTTAGCGGGGATAACTGTTCAAAACAATGGGACTCTTGTGTGTCCAGAGGCTGCAAATCTTGACTTGGACCTGTCTTTGAACTCTTGCACTGACTGATATGAAGGGATCCAGTGATGAAAGCTAATCACCAAGTAGAAAAAACTTTCACAGTGCTTTTGGAACTGAAAGGCTGCAGTTGCAATACAGTGTGTGCAAGCTCCCTGTGAACTGGGAGGGTCATGCATGGGCAACTGGGCTGTTGAACTCTGAGTGATCAGGTTTGTAAGGAGCCTGCAGTGCTGCTAATTCAAGAATCCTGCTGTATGATCTTAGTGCTTTGAAGAGTTAAATGCATTACTAAGTGCACTGCAGCAAAGGAAAATGCTACCCTACAAACAGGGGATTTCTGTGCTTTAATTGAAGCTGTGAACAGTTGCTCTTGAACAATGTGAGGCAGCACATATTGGAGGAATAATTGCCCGTCAGACATAAACTATACGGTATAAGCGTTGTAAGCTTGCTTCAGAAGACTCTCTGTGTCCCCTTGGTTGCTGCCTTTCTTTTTCCTTCTTGCATACACATACCTCCCTGGAATGAGGAATAATTAGTAATTTTTTAGTGAGAATTCATAACCTCTGTGCTAGCTGCACAGAGGTTATGAATTCTCTCATTTTCTCATTACCTGACAGGAATGAGGCAGGATATGGAGTTCCTGCGTGGATGGGTTCAGGTTACATTCCCCATCTCATTCTATGGATTTGGCCCTGTAAATTAGGAAAAGGCAGCAATAAGAAATGCAGTCTCAGGCCCTCTATCTACAGTATGGCAATGATAGTGTGACTCTTTCGGCTCTCTGTGTGTCTGTGTGGCACAGTGGTGCTGTGGTTGGAGTATAGCAGCTCCCAGCTTGCTGTGGGAATGGGGATTTGGATGTTGCTGTCTCCGACCTGAAGAAATGTATGCCATGTCCTCAGCCAGCTTGATTTTGGGAAAGAAAAACTGGGTGGGAAACACTGTGTGTTCAAGTGATTTGCTCTATGTTAGCTGGTCCAGTCTTGACAAAACCCAGGAGCAGAGACAGATAGGAAGGTGTGTTCATAGCCACATTGTCAGGAAAATAAGCTTTCTTCCAGGAGAGGGCACATTTCCACTAGGTTTGTGCCAGTACAGCTGTGTTGGCAGGCAGACTCCAGCCCTCTGACTGAGAAGGATGTTCTGTCTTTGACCCTTCAGTCATTCAGTGATGAAACCAGGTCTTTCCTAGCAAACTCTGGCATGGTAAAATAGGTGTGACAAGAAACATTCCTCTAACTGGTAACTATCTGTGGCTGCCACTTGGTCCTTACCTGGCATGTGGCCTTACAGATTTTTACATGTCGAATTCTGATGTTATGTCAGTGGTAGGGAAGCTGGGCAGGGGAGAAGAGAGTACTGTTGAGTGTGAAAGTTACCTGATGTTGGAGGGGGAATGGGAAGGAGAGAGCACTTTCATCTTTCAAATGAGGCGAGGGACCAATGTGTTTTAAAGTCCAGAGATTTGCTGTTAAGTTGAACCAGAGCTTGCTTTCCTGTTATTAAACTTCTTTTTTGTTATGCGTGAAGAAGACATGAAATACTTTTGAATTCTAAAAGTGTCCTCACTGTTCTGGGGAAAATTGGATAGAAGTAAGTTAAGAGTTTGTGGGAGTATCTGTCTTTCAAACAAAAATATGCGTTTTTTGATCCCTGGTTTGCATGACCTTGTGAACTCATTATGGTTCTCTGCATTGTTCTGCAGAGACTTGATAATAACCTTACACTGTAATTAGCAGTTCTTCAAAGAAATACCAAGCTTCAACTAATGTATTACCATTGATGATTTACTTGGTGAACCGATAGCAAAGGTAGACAAATAACTGCCTTTTCCCCCTCATATGCTGCCCAGCAGTTACTTAAGCATATTACAGGGAGGTAAATAAATTAGACCTTTCTTTTTTCAGGTAACATGTCTGACAGCTAGCTGTTTTCTTGTTGCCTCTCACACAGTTTCTTTTTTGACAGCAGCAACTCACCTGATAGAGTTGATGTGCTGTTTTTAACACAAGTATAGTGTCTATTGTTTAGCCAGAAAGTCAGTGACGCATCATCTCTTGAATTTCTGTTAGTTTTAAATTCTCATTGCTGTATCCTTCCTTTCTTATACTGTTTCTTGGGGAGGTTGTTTTTGTTTGTTTGTTTGTTTGTTTGTGTTTTGTTTGTTCTTTTTTTACTGTAAGGGTGAGCCACATTCTCATGGAAGTTGTTAAGGATGCAGTTACATTTAAAATGACATTTAAAAACAAATATGCATCATGTCTGTTGCTTAATTGCACGATGATATATAACAGTACTTAGTTCATCCACATACACAAATGTGCATTGGCAGTTTTAACAGGAGGTTCTGCAGGCTTAGTCTTCCTCCCTGGTTATGGTACTTGAAGGTAAAAAATACAGCTGTATACTTATGAAAGCCAGCAGAAAAATCTCTTTTACAATAGCAATGGTTATACTCTTACATCCTTATTCCCTGCCATTATGCACTACTGAAAATGGATAATAAAAGTTGGAGTCAATGTAAACCACAACAGTCTTCATGAAAAATGTGAAAAATAGTTTTAACAATTTTGTCAAGTAGCTTTAAGCTGTGCTTAGGGGTAATATCAGGAAATCTCAGACAATACTCTACAGAATCTACAGAGGGAATAGCAACCATATTGCAGACTTAATGCAGTGCCTTCAGGAGGTTTTCTGGAGGTAGTGTTTGGACTTAATCTGCACACAGCCTTCATGAAGAGAAGCATCCCTGGTT